ATATATATTATATATATTATTTCATTATTTTATATTTTATTTTTATTTTTGTGTATGAGTGTATTGTCTGTATGTGTGTAAGTAGGTGCGTGCACCCGTATCATGCAATGACCAAGGAGGTCAAAAGAAGGTGTAGGATCCTCTGGACCTGGAGTTATGGATGGTTGTTAGCTGCCACGTGGGTACTAGGAAATGAACCTGGATCCTTTGCAAGAGCAGACAGTGCTCTTAACTGCTGAGCCATCTCTCCAGCCCCTGTTTATTTATTTTTGAGACAAGATCTCATGTAGCCTTGAACTAGCCTTGAACTCATTATCTAGCTGAAGCTAACCTTGAACTTCTAATCTTGCCTCAATCTTGCTACTCCTAGGATCACAGATGCATGCCACCTCACCTGGTTTTATGAGGTACTGGGGCTTGAACCCAGGGTCTCATTCATCCTAGGCAAGCAGTCTACCAACTGAACTACATCCCTGCCCCTACAAGTAGAATTGAAAGCAGAGACTCAATGAGATAATTGTATGTATGTCAGAGGAACATTATTCAAAAACTGAAATCAATCCAAGTATTCATCATGAATGAATGGAAAAACAAAATATAATATATACCTAGTATAATTTAGCTCCTCAGAGCAATTGCAAGGCTTCATGTAGTGTCACAGGTCCATAATTCCAGAAGTTAGGAAGTAAAGGCAGAGAAAAATGAGAAGTTCAAGGTGAGCCTTGGCTACATGAGACTATCACGTAAAAACAGTTACATTCTGATGCATGCTCCAACAGAAACAACTTTGACACAGTATGCTCAATGAGTTAAGCCACACACAAAATGACAAATGCCCTGTGGTTCCATTTGTAGGAGATGCCTAACATAGTCAAATTCCTAGAAAGGAAAAATAGGATAGTGGTAGCCAGAGCTGGTGGCGTGGAGAGTGGAAAGTTGTTGCTCAGAGTTTCAATTTGACATGAAGAAAGCCTTCTGGAGATGGTTGCATGCTAATGAAAATGTACTTAATGCCATTGAACTGCATGTACACTTAAAAATGTGTAAAATAGGATTTTTTGTTTTTGGTGCTAGGGATCTGAAAAATCTCTTTCCTGAGACTACATATATATATATATAGTCTATATATAGGAGAATATATATAGTCTGTATATAGGAAAAATATATATAGTCTA